AAATTTGAAAGAAAATGATGTGATTAAACGTCAACGAAAACCTAGTGTACACGTCACGAGGTCAGATGGATATGCATGATTAGCTCCAGACCTGCAGGAGAGTGTGGCACGTCATGGTTACTACCATTTTATGGGTGGATCTTCATTCAGGGTAATTACATCCAAGGCATTCATTGCCTGTGGATCGCTTTGTCTGACACGACCATCATTGATGTAATTACCGCGGAAACGAAGAGCCTGGAAGCTAATCTTTCTACCCCAATTCCTTAACCATTGCGAGTCTCTTGCCATTGACTCCTGACTTGTTCATCGCAAGTTAAGATTTTTATGGGTGGAATAGAATGAATCTCTTGCATTTGAATAGAGTGCAAAGGTGATTGTGATTTAACTTAATCTCAGTTCGATTTTGCTTAGATTTTCTAGTTTATATATTAATTAGTTTTAATGGCTGAATTTTTTCCGTCATCGGATTAATTTATACTGAATTTAAAAATGATCATTGGCAGCCCCAACAAGTCAATGTGAGATTACACGGTGGATGAAGATATATGGGGTTGCGGAGCCGTGATGGACTGGATCACCGCCCCTAGTCCTCCGGAAGGTGGGCTTTTGAAGTCTATTTAATTAATATCATTTCTAATTCTAATTATAAAACCTTATTTATAGACTATAAATAAGGTCTTATAATTAGAATCAGTTATAAATGATATCTTATGATTAGGATCGGAGGCAGAAACTCCTTAACGGTCAATGCATATAATCAATGGAGCCTTCTCCAAGTAGTTCTTGCTAATCAAACAAGCGGCCATCATTATTTCTTAAATATTTTTCCAATTCTTAATATAAGACCTAATTAAATAATTTAAATAGATTAAAAGTGTTAGTTAAATTAGCTAATATGAAATATTTTTTCTAAAATATTTTAAATATCTTCCTTAATTCCCTCCCTTCCTCTTCCACTTGATTATTATTGAGGGAATATCAATAGAATTAATTTTAAAAAAATTGATAAACATATAAAACATGTTTTATATATAAGAACAACATTAACTTCTTAATTAACTCCTATATTCAGGATCGAAACAGTACTATTTTCTTAGGGTGTGTTTGGATTAGTGGTGGCAAAACTGACTTTTATTTCATATGACTTTTGCAAATGTTAATTAGAATAAAAGTCAGTTAGTATAATGTAATTTATGTTTGGATTGACTTTTATAAAAGTCAGTTTGATAGGTTGAAACTTGTTTATATAAGTAATAAAAAAGTAAGTTTAGATATAAAATGACTGAAAAAGATATCATTTTTCTCCGAACTAATCTGCCTGACTTATAAATTGATTTGTAATATAGTGGTATGTATAAATATTTTAGAGAGATTACGTAACATATAATATAATTAAGTAATTTATTTAGTTTTCATAATCCTTCAAATTAGTTCCCTTGGTTTTACATTAAGAACCTGAGATAGTATATCGTATACATATAAGTTGATAAATTTAAGAAAAATAATTAAATTACTATTAAAAAAATCAAATTATTGAATCAAAATAAGACCCACTTAAACACACTTATCTATCTTTTTATCTTCATTTGTTTTCTTTCTCCATGTTGGCAACTGTAAAAGCTCAAAATTTGAGCTTCCCACCGCAACTGACTTTTGAGGCAAAAGTTGGTTGTACAAAAGATTTATCCAAACAACCAACTGCTTCAATTTACCTACAAATATCAGTTTCATCAATTTCAATGCACTTTTTCTCCTTCTAACGGCAATCCAAACAGGTGCTAACAAGCCCACAGAACCCCTTCTTGTTATGATTATCCATCCGCTAAGTCACACTGTTTTCTTTTTTTGCCCAAGCGAGGCTGCAGATCTTATATGCACCAATGGCAACGATTCTCTCTCATAGTCATAATTTTATTGTCAATTTTATGTTATAAATTGCGGGCCAATCAGTCACATGACTGAATTTTCACGTGTCTTTGGTTGGTAAAGATTGTCTTGTCTTGGATTTGATATATACATATATCATGGACTTGCTATTTGTGTGTGCGTGTGCGTGGTGTGTATATATATAAATGAGCCCGCGTGCTATCGCTGGTCATCCACCCTCAGAACAGCGGCCAACTAACCAGTTGACTTCTGCCCGGGGGCACCTAGTTCGATGGAATTAAATTAAATATTAAATAAAGAGTGGACAAAACTCACACACGTAAGCACGATAAACAAGGACTAAGAAAATATAATTAGAAAGCTACCTACAACTTGCTAGCCTTTTTACTCCAAACGGCAAATTGAATTTCCTTTTACGGTTACGGGTAAAGATTAGGTTTCGCATAAACTATGATCTTATAAAGCTCGGGGTCAAGTGACTTGGGCCATACGATGGAAAAGTAAAAATGTTGGTTGGATGAAAATCTCCCGTGAAAGTGTAATTTACCAATTGTACTCACGGCGAGGGATTTTGCAGTTTTGTTGACCTGACAAGGCCCAGTTCTGTTTATATTTGGGCCAACGAGGCCCAGTTGGGTGATCGGATAGGCATGGCCTGCACCAAACTCATTTTGGGCTAGCAACGTGTTTCAAGCCCATTAGTGGCGAGTCCTTGATTATTCTGCAGCCCATGCTTTTTCTAGCTTCAGTTTTTGCTCCCCCGAGGGGGTTGGATTCAAAGGAATTTGAGGTGCTTGAATAATACACTCATAATTTTCACTGATTTTTAATTGATTTCACGAACTATTCACGTACTCGTTTTCACCTAGCACCATCAAATTGAAATGTTCAATAAAAAACAATGTGAGAATGACAATTCTCAAGACCTCTTATTAATTTCGATTTGCATTTTCTAATACCCCTTTATCACCACCCAACTTGTCATGTCTAGCCAATGTTGATTCACATCGACCGTGTGTCAGGAATAAAATCAATATGCGCTGCATATAGGTCATGCAATTTTAGATTTAATAGACAAAGACGTGAATAATTGTGACAAGTCGATGGCAGGTCAGCCAAGATTACTTTTATTTGCTGCTACCCTGTTCTTAAGGTAAGATCTAATTAATTAATTTGAGTAAATTAATGATGTTAGTTAAATCAATTAATATGATTTTTTTTCTAAAATACTATAGTCATATTTCTTAATTTTCTCCTCCCTTCTACTTGATTGTTGTTGAGGGAATATCAATACACAAGGAGTGTGAAAAAAAGGGCAAGATTATTTCGATTAGTCTTGAAAATTTGTGTTGGCATTTAGCAATGCGGTACAGGGGGCGCATAAGCACCAGAGTCAAATAGATTGCCAGAAGAAGTAACACGAAGCGTAGATGGTAAAATATGCAAGGAGAACTCTAGATCATATATGGGAAACATATCATTAACCAACCAAGGGATTTGATTAACTCGCTGCAGTTGGTGGATGGGAGCTTGCAAGGGTTATGAGTGAGGAAGAAAACGAAAATAAAAAAGAAAGAAAGAGAAATGAGTTGGCTTTTTGGACTAATTCGCAGACAAGATAATAGTAAGAGCTTGAATAATTGGATATTAACAATGGGAAACTGCTAATAATCGATGAGTGCAGGTGGGTTGCTCTAGCTGATTCAAATTCAATTATCCTGGGGGTCCAAGTTCCCTGCTTGACTTTGGCACAGAGGGGTATCATTGTCATTCCACCTTCTCCACTTAACATCCTGCTCCTCTCCCACCTGGCGCAACGGCGGCGCCGCCCAAGAGCTACCCTGCAATACTGCGCTGCTGCACATTGCAGATCACCCCAGGCCCCCACTTATACGTATGCATGTGCGTGTGTACATATATAAATTAATGAAGAGTGGAAAATACGTAACAACACTTCCAAGTTGTCCCTGCTACCTGGCCCTGATGGCAGCGGGTGGTGCTGGCTTACGTGCATGGAAGGGCTTGCTTTTGGCAGATTCTGGCGTTCGTGATTCAGTACCCATTCCGTCTGCATACAGAGAACTTATTTATTCACGCCTGGTTTGGGCTTTTTGCGTTTCGGGCACCAATCCTTTCAAATAGGAGTTCAAGATACAACGACTCAATGCAATGTCAAGATTTATACCAACTTTGAGATGACACAAGTCGAGAGCTAATAGATGATTTACCCTCAAGTGCATACTACCTTCATGGATAAAATTTGAATTTCAAACCTTATTATTGGTTGAGATAGGCATTAGAAACCATTTATTACGCATCCACCTTGTAATTTAATGACATGCATGAACGCTTTGTGGCTTCGATTTTGCTTGTAATCTTAAATCATTGTCTAATTCAAAAAACAAAGACAGAGTCTTTTTTCTGCCAACTATCAAGACAGATTCTTAGAGTTGGTTAATCCTATTATGAATGAAGAAAAGAAATCTAGTACAATTTGATTCTTATGATGGAAATCGAGGATCCGCAACACCGAGGAGCACTTTGGATTTTGTCCCTCATTGCACTAACTGTGAAGGTCAGGGACCAGTGAGAGGTGAATATTAGGAAGAAAAGCTAGCTGGTACAACGTCCAACCATGAGATTAAAGTTAGGGCGGTTCTGATCAAAGTATCAACAGGAAAAGACAAACACGAAAAGCGGTAAAGTTAACTGAAATGGGAGTGGGAGGAAAGATTAGTTCTCTTTTTCCCCTTTTCCGACCTCTAATGGAGGACAGTTTCATACGAAAGGGACGTGTGAAAGAATTGGAATGGCCTAAACGTCACGCTTCTTCCCCTCACTCTCTTTCCCGCCATTAACATCAGAATGATCAAAAGTTTAACTTGATGACCTTTATTTTCCGCTTTTTTTTTTTTTTTTAACTGACTTGATGTCTTGATTCTTCTCTTTTCATATGTGGTGGGCATAAAACCTTTTCACAAATGGTCGCAAACAAAAATTCCAATCAGCAAATGGAAAAACGACAAAGAGACTTCAGGGTTGGAGAACAATAAAACATACCGAGCAGAATTAATTAAATATTAAAGGACCATTATATTGAATCAAGAAAGTCAAAAGGGCTGTGTATTTATCATCAACTTCACATTGGTTCGGGCTGGCGGTATTCCTTCAGTTGCTCCTTCTGGGTATTGTTTAATCTGTGGATAATTGGTGTTTTGTGATTTTTTGTCTGCTAAGTTTATTAGTGAACTCCTCTTGTTAAAATTTTGGGGAGCCTTTTTCTACTCAGGTTTATCCTTGTGCACGTTGTTTTTAGGAGGTGGACCTTTTTTTCTTCCTAAAAAATATGTTTAGCGCATTAAAGATTTGAGTTTTGTTAGTTTTGCATTTGATGCTTGTGGAAGTACCAGTTCATACTTTATATACCCTGTCTAGTTGTTTTTCTCCAAAAACTTAATTTGCTTGGTTATGTGAGTGAAGGCAAGAGTCTCCTGCTTTCATAGGTTGCAATTTCTCTGGAAATTTGCCTTTTAGAAGCTCTTAGAGGACAGTCTCCTTCAGAAAACTTTAAAATAATTTGCGATTTTAAGGTTTCTTCTGAGCTGGGTTCTAAAATGTTATATGAAACGGGCTCAGGTCAGGGCCTTCCCGGACTGCGGTTTGTGAGAGAAAAGATGGTCGTGCTTTGGATGGTTATTCATGGGAAAATAGAATCGTGAACGTTAACATTCAGGAAGCTAACAACGTTGTGAACGAAATGCCAAGCTACGCTCCACATTTGCCTTCTAGTTCCATGTAAATCATTCGGACCACTCTTCTCTTTTTATGTTTATTTCTCTTTTGGTCATTCACAATAGGTTTTGGCAACGAAGTATTGCCTTTTTAACTTTACCTTCTCAGTTTCTTGCCCCTTAAATCCTCACTCGATCCAAATTTTTGTTTCTGTCTTGGTTATTCGCATATGGCCAGCTGGTGGATATACTATAAAATTGTAACCCAAACTTATAACTCTATGGCTCGTCATGTTATCAGAGAACTGATACTGTTGGAGGAAGACAGTCAAACTATGTATTTTACTGAAACTTCACTCGTAAATTTTTTATATAATAGAGAAATCCGCCTTTTAACTTCGTTTGATATTTGCTCCAAAAAAAAAAAAAACTTCGTTTGGTGCTGTTTCAGTGATCCTCACTGAAAAGAGTGGCAAAGTTGTTCAAATTCATGAAACTATACATTCTTGCAAATTTTGGTGTCCTCAGGCTTTGCCTGGCAGATTATCATTAGTTTGGTATTGATGTTTTTCTTTTTTTTGCCAACATTTTTTTCATAAATGTCTTGTCATACCGGGAGTCATAAGCTTGATAATATAGATTTTAGTGCTGGCTTGGCTTTCTGAATCTCACAACACCACCTTTGACGAAAAGTTTTGATTATTTTGATTTTCAGGGATATAGAGGGATCTGCCGTTCATCATTCTCAAATATCTGAATTTGGAGCCCTTGAGCAATCACTTGGATTTCGTGTAGATGATGCTATCAATCTTAGCAGAAGTATGTCGGTCACATTTGATCATTGTCTCAATCTCATTTTCCTGAAAGACACGTTTTGTCCTATGTATTATAGTATCTCTCTGACTCTCCCCAAATCAAGTATCAACTGGAGAATCATATTCTTTCCATCTGCTTTCAACGTTGCTATCATACTATGAGCATAAGCCTAGCAGTTGATTTCGACTCTCTTTGTGAAATATTGTTTCCTTTCTTGTGGAAGGTGTTTATTAGTTTGACTTCGTGAATTCACCATGTTCTAGAACTCTTCTCCCACATTTCAGCGCCTCAGAATATTTTGTTGCATTTGAAGCCCAATCAATCCTATCCTCTCGAATTGTTCTGGCATGTAGTTAACTTGCTGTCAACATTAGCCTTTCCATTCTCCCTCGTCCCATCATGGGTAAAATCTTAATGTTCTTACTTTTCTTGGAAGAAAGATACTCGTTTCCTCAAGTATGCTTCTTCGAACGCAATTAGAAGTTGGAAGAAGAGTGTGATAGATGAGACAGGAGCAAATAGTATGTGATTTACTTTCCTACCAAAAACCGGCGTTTAAACCTCAACAAATAGTCATGGAAATTCATGGTCTTAGAAGTCGTTCCCACTAGTTGGTACCTCATTTAATCTCTAATAACTTTATCATCTATAATTATCTGTTAGATCCAATATTCAGTCAAATCAAATCAAATAGCCAGGTTCTTGGTGGCGATGTTCAACTTGGTGCATTAAGTAAGGTATGTTCTACTTTGTCTATCTGATCATGTAGTTAAAGCAATAAATCTTAAAAGATAACTGGAAATCCTGCTTTCTTCACCCTCTCCTTTCCTATGGAAGATACCATCACAAGCATCCTCAGATATGAGACTCTCTGCTGCAATTGTGGCATCTCAGACACTGCCATTACAAAGAGACACACAACCTAATCTGGCTTCTATATCTGGTGGCCCTCGCGAGTACTGGGGGGAGTCAAACATTGCAGATGCAAGCCCTAGGACTGATACTTCAACAGATGACACAAACTCTAAAAATCAAAGGGTGATTCTTTTACTTTCATTATATCATATCTGGAGTTTAATTCATGCACCAATTCAATGGCTTTTGGTGATGCTGCCTCGAGTTTTGATCTCATGCTTGAACAAATATGTTGGCTGATGTCCACATTTAAGTTGATAAAAATATGCTTCCACGAAATAAGGTGTTTCAATGTTGTTTTGCAGCCTGAAAGGGGCCGCTCATCTATTGCAGTATCTGATTCCAACGATAGATCAGATCAAAAGGTCGTATTTAATGATGATCACAAAATATAAGCTTGTCATCACTATGGACTAATTCAACAGTCATGTATGCAGACACTGCGACGGCTGGCTCAAAATCGTGAGGCTGCCAGAAAAAGCAGACTAAAGAAAAAGGTAGGCTCTTTTTTGTATTGACTGCCTCCGTTCTAGACTTCTAGTAACATTGTTTTTCTGTTACAAATTTAATGAAATAATTACCCAACTGCTGGATGGAGCATTGTCAAAATGTTTGTATCCACAGTAACTTGTCATGTTTTACCATTCTGCTCATGTATTCTTTTCTTCCTCATCTCTCATTCCTTTCAATATATTCAGGCATATGTACAACAATTGGAAAGTAGCAGGCTGAAACTGACCCAACTTGAGCAGGAGCTTCAGCGAGCCCGCCAACAGGTTATTTTTCTTATCGTCTCTGCTCAAATTTGGCACTTTTCGTCCCTGAAGCCGCATGTTTTAAGGCAAACTTGGCTTAATCTGATAATTTTATTACATGAACATTAATTAGGTTTTAAATTATATTGTAGGGCATTTTCATTTCAAGTGCAGGAGACCAATCCCATTCATTGAGTGCAAATGGTATTACTGTGAGCCTTAACCTTGAGAACTTTATCATCGATGCCCCTCTTGGTGGAACAGTATTTTGAGATGTCTTGGGTATTCAGTGCAGTGATATCAAATGCAAAATTATAACTATCGCCAATACAGCCTCGCTAACACTTGGCTTGACATCCCACTAAGAATAGGTTGCATGACAATCAGTTTATCCATACATGTTTACATTGACTGCAAGCAGATCTGATGCTATTATTGATTTTCTAATGTGAACTTCTAAACAAGCCCAGCTGTTCATACTTTATTTTATTATTTATAACTTAGGCTCTAAACCAGGCTATAGAGATCCTTCCAATTGAAAATGGGAACTTACTTAAAAAGAATGTTCTTTTGACCATCTAGGGTGCTTGAATTTAGGTTTAGTTTGCCCCGAGGGCTAATGAGTTAAATTTGGCTATATGTTCTTTTCTGTGCCCTGCTGTAGAGAGTGCCCCATAAAGTATTCCATGACATGGGTTCATGAAGCAAACGGAAATTTTCACGTTAGAGGATATGGAGCCTAACGTACTTGGATTAAACTTAGAGTAACTACTATCTGCTCTTGTAAATCAGATCCTAATTTGTAAATGATTGGTTTGATTGGTTTGCTGTAACAGGTGCCATGGCATTTGATATAGAGTATGCACGATGGTTAGAAGAGCATAATAAACAAATCAATGAGCTAAAGGCTGCAGTCAATTCCCATGCTGGAGATATTGAGCTGCGTACAATTGTTGACAACATCATGACTCACTTTGATGAGGTTTTCAGACTGAAATGTGCTGCAGCAAAAGCTGATGTTTTCCACATCCTGTCTGGATTGTGGAAGACTCCAGCAGAGAGGTGTTTCATGTGGATAGGAGGCTTCCGCTCTTCTGACCTTCTGAAGGTGAGAATATTTCTTTTATGGATGAAGAAACTAGTTTAACTCAACTATTCTTGGTCAATATCTGAAAGATGTCTCACTTGTTGACGAGATTGGAAGTTAATAGGTTTTATTTTTGTTGTTCTGAAGTAGCTATCCTTCCGTAATATGCTGTCTAACTTCAAACTGAATTGACTCTTGGTGCAGCTTCTTGTAAGTCAGTTGGAGTCCTTAACTGAGCAACAGATGATGGGCATCTACAACTTGCAGCAGTCTTCCCAACAGGCTGAAGACGCTCTGTCCCAAGGAATGGATGCATTGCAGCAATCACTGGCCGAGACCCTTGCTGATAATTCACCCAACCCTTCAGGGTCATCCACGAACGTGGCACATTATATGGGCCAAATGGCCAAGGCCATGGGGAAGCTTGGCACACTTGAGAGGTTCCTTCGCCAGGTAATTCATTTCCTACTTGTTTCCCAATATCTCAAGAGCTAAAAACTATCATTTAATTCAACTTGAGAAGAAATCAGGAACTTTGAGCCAAAGAATAGGCTAACTTCAACCGCAGGTGGTAGCTCATACTAATAACTAGATACATTTTCTAATACACATGGAGTCCAAGGAATAAACCACACAATTTATTGTAGGTCTTATATATCAGAGAGTATAATCTTATTTTTCCCTTAGAAAAATAATAGTGATATATTTATCCATGCTCTTTTTCCTCCCATATACCAGGCTGATAATCTACGACAGCAAACATTACAACAAATGCTGCGGATATTAACCATCCGGCAATCGGCTCGAGCTCTACTCGCGATAGGTGATTATTTCTGTCGGCTAAGAGCCTTGAGCTCACTGTGGCTTGCCCGACCACGGGAATGAATTATGTGAAGACTCGCCATATTATCAACATGACTTCCTCTAGAAGCCTTGGACGCGTTGTTTGTAAGTCAGATCTGATCAATTCTTCACCTTTAGTGCAGTCTATCTCTTAACCTACCGCTCCTTTGCTACATCTTTCTTCTGCTCTCTTTTTGCTCATTCACTTTTACGTTGGAAATGTTCTCAAATAAGTTGTTTGTGTGGATATGTCATTTGTAGATAGGCACGTTAGAGGAGAAAAAGAAATGGAATAGCTTTTGTAATTTAGGCTGCGTCTGTTCATCGTATTCCGTAAGTCAGATTCTATTTTTCTTGGTTTTTTTTTTTTTTGGGGGGGAGTTCTTTTATCTCATTTCTCATGTACTAAATTTTACTTTGGGAGAATTACATCCAAATCCCACACAAGAGAAATAATCACTGTAAAGTCCCAAGTAACAACCTGAGCAGCATGAAATAACAAGTCCTACAGTGAGAATGACAACCTCTGGGACTTGTTTTTTAATTACTTGGGACCTCATTGTAATTCTCCCTTTTACTTTTAATGGTTTTTGGTTGGTGCATTTGTGCATATGAATCTCTCCATGTGCGTATTTGTTGGGTTGCGTTTATGTGGAATATGATTGACGCACGCCCTGCCATTGGAGGTTAGTGATATGCTTAGCTTAAGAAAATCAAGCATGAAAGTGAAAACTAGATGAACTTGAAAAAAAAAATAATTTTTTATAATTACAGGTTCTCATTTCATTTCATTGCCCAAACATATAGCCCAGTTGGCACGTTTTTCAGCCGCTATGATTACTGATTTATTTTTAGCATAATCAAGTTATTTTATTACCACTCTTAACCTAATCAGCGTAATACTTAGAAATGGACAAAAAGAAAGGGGGAATAAAAAAGAGGTCGGGGAGTTGCCGGAGTGAGTATTTTCATTTTCCATGATTCGACCCGCCGATTATTTTCTTGTCTTTTTTCTAAATGAATTTTTATTAGAAGTATTAAGCCTAGAGTGCCCACAAACAATATCTTGTGTATTTCTTTGCATATTTGCTAGGAAAATAATTGAACAAGGGAAGAGGTATTAAATATCTAACTTCAATTCTGATAAGTTTATTTATTCATTACTTTTGACTTGAAAATATCTAACTATATCAATTCTGATAAGTTTATCTATTCATTACCATTGACTTGAAAATATCTAACTATAGAAGGTTCTGCAAAAAAACTTTAAATGGCCAAGAACTCATAGTTCAATCTCATGCCTCCTCTCATAAAGAAGGTAATGAGTTAATAGTATTTGATATAATATCTAATATCTTAGAATGTCCATTTATATGCCTGGCATTCTAGTAAGATCAAGAACTTCATACCAAAAAGAAAAACAAAAAAAAAAATTAAGAGATTTTTATTCAAGACCTGATATGTCAAGTTCCGAATAAGAAATAGCTTTTTTGTTTTTTTGGCATTCACATGAATTGAATGTTGATTTAATTTTACATCCACAGCTTTTACTGAGAAACCTTGACAATGCTTTAAATTGCAATGGTAAACGTAACATTTTCAAACAAATAAAAAACTCTGTTTGTGAGTTATTAATACAATTAATATACTTCTCCGGTCTTTAACATAAGACCTATTTAACTAATTTGATTAGATTAAAGAAGTTAGGTAAATTAGTTAATTATAAGAAATATGACATTTTTCTTAAAACATCCTAATTATCTTCCTTAATATTTTCCCTTCCTCTTCTACTTTATTATAGATTTATGGTTGAGGGAGTATCTATAAGGGTAATTTATGAAAAATTAATAAAAATGAAAAGTATCTCTTATATTTAAAACCAAAATCAACTCAACAATTAGGTCCTATATTAAGAATCAGAGGAGTATTTTATAACTGGATCGCAAAAAATATAGTTTCATAAAGTAGAAAATCTAAAGACGTATATAAAACCTTGCTTATAAACTATAAATAAAATTTTATAATTAGGAATAGAAGTAGTATATGATAATAATGTTAATTATATACACAAACGCACCCGCACATTAACAAATTCTTCGTCACTTGTCTGAATTAAGCCTGCCATGCAGCAGGTTTAGCGCGTGGTAAGAATGACACCACTTCCCCCGGTGCTTGGTCCGATACCAGATCTTCTCTGACGGAAACCAAAGCAGCCATCTATTCTATGAAATTATTCTATCTGAGGAATCACACAAATCATGACGGTCGGCCACCTTGATTAGAAATTACATTTCTCGGCGTCTCCACGTGTCACTGTAAATAGAGTCGAAATTGGTATCGGCGAATGTATCATTTTGGGGTTCAGTATTCATTGGATCAAGCCTCCCATCCAATATGCTGCCTCAGTTCTTGTGAATTAAGAACCGGTAAAGTGTAAAACAGAAGCAAGCTAATTTTTAATAAACTTCCTTTGCGTGTCACCAACGATCCATACAAGTAACAAGGACAACATCTATCGCAACGCAACAATACATCACACAAGATAAGCTTCAGACCCGGTATTTTTGAACATTAGATGGCGATTATGTGTACGATAAACATTCAAATCCAAAATGCTCAACCTACTACATATCTTATGATAGCTGCACGAATAGAAAATTGAGAAAAAAGTAGCTATTCAATTGAGAAGATTAGTTGATTTCTTCAATCAAGTAAATCAGAAACTGCCGTCTTCCTAAACGCATCAACTTGAGCCAACAGACCTGCCATGCTCTTATTTGGGAATACGTCATCAGCTTTCAGCCTCTCCCTCATCCCATATGCTGGTTGCTTGGCATTTATATAGGCCTGGACTAGAGCTTGATAAAGGCTCAAACGAGAGCCATAACCTGATTGTCTCATTCTATAGAAAATCTTTTCCGAATTATGGATGTCACCCCTCTGGGCATATTTATTTAAAATAAGCATGTAGGTACAGAACATTGGCTTCATGTGGTTCTGCTGCACTGCCTTCTGCAAAACAGAGTCTGCCTTCTCCACCTCCCCTGCTTGAACATAAAGTTTCACAATTGAATCCCAAGTCAATGGGCCTATTCGGGTCCCACTATCTGCCATTTGCCTAATAAGATCCTTACCCTTCATTAGCATCTTGTTATTGGCGTAAACCTTCAGAAGCATTGTATAATCCCGGGAAGAAAGTTTCTTCCATTTATTCAACATTATCTCGAAAACTTTCTCTGCTTCTTCAACTTTCTTCAACCTTCCCCAAGCTTCAATTGCAGCTAGACATTCATCACTCCGAGGATTTGACTTGCAGACTTCCCAAATCCTCCCAACTTCATCAGTCTTTCCCAGGCCTCCATAGAGGGGAAGCAAAAACCGGCATACCCATCGATTTTCTTTCAAGTCTTCCCCTTCCATCTCTCTCAAAACGTCTTCAGCTTTTTCTTTAAGCCCAGCTGAGGCATAATGCTTGGCCAAGACTGCTTTTGTTTGGATGTCTGGTTCGATGCCCTCAGCCTTCATTGTCTCAACAATTTGGTCCATCCCGGCTATATCATTAGCCTGGCCTTTTGCATCTATTAAGATTTGATAAGTGAAAGGAGAAGGTTTAATATTCTCTCTTTCCATTAACAATAACACATCAGCAATTTTCTTCTTGTCAATCCTCTGATACAGGAGAAGCAATTGGTTGCAAGCAAATGCTGAAAGAGGGAACTCTAAATCCCTCATTTTATTGAATACATGTTCTGCCTTTTTCACATTGGTCTGACTAACACAGTTAGCAAGTAAAGTTCGGTAGACAACCTCCCCTCTAAAAGATTCTGGAATGCTTTCTATGTAGTTCTCTGCCTTATGAAGGCCATGCAATTTGGCAAACAAATCAACTCGAGATGTATATTCTCTCTCAGTAAATTCCAAGATCTTTTTCTCCTCAAGCCATTCTGAAAGCTATAGAACCAACAACAAATTAATATAGATTAAGTTATGCCACAAAAGTACAAAACATCAGCATGTAAAACAGGAAGCTCAAAAAGGGGCAGTATGTATCTACGGCAAATCAGCAACATGATTGAATATTCATAGCTCTTCAAAATGCACAAGATGCCTGGCTGGAACAATAATAAACGTTTTAAATCAAAAAAATGATGAAAACATGCTCAAACATGTTCATGTTTCCACATTTGAAGGACCCCATCATCCCAAAAACACATAGGCTTAACACACCCATTCATGTGAAAGCCCTTTAGGTTTGAAGCATTGATAATTATATTCCCATCATACTGTGCTAAAATTCAGACCAATCAATATACCTATATAATACATAAATTGCTAAGGAAATCATATCGAGATATTTGCCTGATAAATAGTGTTATGATTTGAAACATTTTGCTTATATCAGGCTATGTGCTATGTTGTTTTGCTGCATATTGTTTTAACATTCTTCTTTTTTAAAATTGAATTTTCAAATAAATGAGTCTTACTAGACACTTCTGTCATATAAAATGGACCCAGCGTTGCTTTGCTAGAGTGACAGTTCCAGAGAAGAAATGGTGTTAAAGGAACAAAAGTAATCAAAATAAGCATAATTAGAAATTATTAAAATGACATCAAGCAGCCACAACGTGAAGACAATAGATTTAAAATTTTATTCAAACTAAATTCTGATCCATTTACCTGCAAAGCCTTCCCATACAGTTTGCGCTTGCGAAGCATGAGCATGACCAATGAGATCTCTTTCCTCTCTACTTCTTTCCCTTGTTCAACCCATTTGTCCATAGTAGAACGGACATTCCCAACCGGGGCTTCTAAGATTTCCTTGAGCATTTCTGATTGAGCCCTCCTCCCCTTTGGTGACTTTTTCTCAGTTGATTCAGTATCAGTATCTGATAGCTCCAGCTCATTTTGTGGTTCCTCAGTATCCTCATCATCACCAGATAGATCTGATTTAGAAATTAATTCATCATTATTTTCCCCTGTAGTTGCTCCCAATTCAGAAAATCCATCTTCCCCATCCTCCTCCTCTTTTGTGTTTCTTGCATCAGCTTGTGAAGAAAGTTCACGCCTGCTCACGATAAATTTCAGTGAATCATATCCTGAGTGGTACTGAACGGTGTTCAATGATGGAGATCTACCATAGATTATGGGACAACACTCGGAAACACCGCCCTCGTCTTCCACACAAGCTGATGGTGTTAATTTGAGACAGGCGCGAGCAGTTTCTGCTTTAAGCCCTCGGCTCCTAAAAACATATTGCAAAAAATTATCGTCACAAACTGATGCAGATATAAAAGCAAGCCAAATATGAAGCACGAAATGCAAATGACAAATTATAACATTGAGAATAGGAGATATTTAAAGATGACCAGTACCGC